AGAAATATTAGCTTCAATTTTCATTATATCTTTCATATTATCTTCCTCTTCAACCTCTTCTTTTTTACTCTTTTACTATATATATTATTAAAAATTTTATAATTTTTAAAAAAATATTTGGTAATTATTATATATAGTAATCAAAATTACTTTATTTGGTAATTTGTTAATTTTATTATAATAATTTAACATTAATATGTAATAATAATATTTTATTCAAAATTTATTAAAAAGTTTTAAAAATTTAGTATAATATATAATTTGTTATGCTAAACAAATTTTACTTAATAATTATATTTAATTTGCTTAATAAAAAATTAACTTTTAATATATAGCAATTTTAGTAATTAAATTTTAAAAATTACCATTTTTAGTTTGGTGTAACATTACACAAGATTACATAATCATAATTATTTTAAAAAATACTGTATAGAATTTTATAATTTTTTTTTATATAAAAAATATAGATTTAATTAATTTATAGCTTTATTTTTAGCCTAATATCTTATTTATTTAATTTTATATTTATTTTTAAAAACTGCCCACAATAATATAGCCACTCATTGTATTCTTTTGATTCCAATGCTTATTAAATAATCCAATTTTCTTTTTAGTACATTTGCAATAAAGACAAAAATATATTTCATTCGCAGCATTTAACCCAAGGCAAAGAGCGAGAAATTTCCAATCTGATGAAAAATAAAGTTTAACATTCCACTTATTGCTCTACTCATCAACAATTCCATTATGTGAAATATCTTGTAAGTCTTGAATTAATAGCATTAAAACTTTTTGTAAAATTTGATAATCTTCAATACCAGGGTATAAAACTATAGTATAATGTCGTTCAGATATTTGAAGATTATTAATATCATTAAGAATTAAACATGTTATCATAACATGTTTTATTTGACGTCCTACATTCCTGCCATCTCCTGATATTCGTAACATAATAAAAGGATCACTCGAATTTAATATATTTTCTTCAATATAAAATGGAATTATATACTTTAAAATATTTTTGATATTTCTGTAACTAGCTTTTCCAATTGATTCGCTTATACCATAAATTACCTCTTCATTATCAATATGAATTTTATCATTACTTGTCGCAAATATAGCTGCATTATTAATATTAATATCCATAATATAAATAGGTATAATATTTTGCATTAGCTTATCAATATTAAGTTTTTCATTACTAATTGTATATTTTTGATCTAATTCTGAAGAAATTTTTGCTATAGACCGAAATGCATTTCGTGAAATATAGTTATGATCTATTGCACGAACATGTGCTTGTCTTTTTAATTTTTCTAATGGATTATTTTTTGAATAATCTACTATCCAATCTTGACTATCAACTGACAAAGTAAGCGATTTTATTTGAATTTGATCTTTATGATATAAATGTGTTGTTTCATCATCTATAAAATTATTTACTTTTTCACCAATTTGTTTGATTCGATATCTTTTTTCCAAATTACTAAGTGTTTCAAGTGGGCAAAGAATATTAGATTTATAATAAGAATCTCTAGTTTGCTCTACACATTTAAGTTGTAATCTGAATACTATAGGTTCAGATAGTATTGATGTTCCCTTAGAATTATATGTCTTATATCAAAAAAAAATTTTTAATTTTAAACTTTATTTATATATTAAAAAATTCTTTTAAAAATTTACCTGTGCAAATAAATTTGCAGCATGAGTTGTGCTTTGCCAAGACTCAATTATTTGAGTTCTATCCATATTATATTCAATTTTAAAGCAAGGTTTTAAATGAGTTTTACTATTAATGTCTTGATATGTATAATTAATAGTACATATAATATTTTGCATTTTATTTCATTTTGCCCAGCTAACTGCAACTTTATAATTATCGAGAATTCTATAACATTTACTTTTTTTTTTAAGTTTTGATAAGAATAGATGGTGGTAGATAATATCCTTTAAAAATAATAATATAATGATAAGTATCGGTAGATAGATCTTTATATTCAATTTCAGATTTTCTAGAATAGTCATGAAGTTCTATTAAAACATCTTTGGCTTTGTTATTATTATTATTATCGATATTATCGATATTATCGATATTATTAATATATATATATTTTTTTCCACTTAGGCAAAGTCGTGCCAGTGAATCCTGTTTATTTAGAGCTCTTCTTGTGAAAGCTGTAAGCAATAAAACTATGATCCTGACATCCTGCGGTTACCTTGTATAAACTAACCGATTACCTACATGCACCTACAGGTGACCTGCCGCACTGCAGAGGTACAATCAATTAAGATAATACCTTAGACAGGGGCTCGTCCGACCACCGCTTTACAATAGGATATCGCCAATCTGATAACATCTTCTCGTAGGGAAGTGAAAGAAAAAGAAAAAACATTTTATAAAAAAACACAGAGGTATAAGGGAATACGATA